TTACAGCGACGACAGTGGCTCAGCACGGTGCTATTATCAGACGACTTCTTCACGACGTATACATACCCGTTCCCATCGACCCGGAAACTGGAGAATTACTCCGAGACCCCAAGACAGGGTTCGTGAAGCGCAATTCGTATAACGAGGGTGGCGAGATCTTGGTCGCTGTACCGGGTGAAGAAGCATTTGCTGGGTATCACAACAACCCGAAGGCTACGGCGAAGAAGTTCGAGAGGAACGTGTTCAAGAAAGGCGATCTGTTCTACCGATCTGGTGATGCGCTCAGACGGGATGATGATGGGCGCTGGTTCTTCCTTGACCGACTAGGCGACACATTCCGATGGAAGAGCGAGAATGTGTCTACAGCTGAAGTAGCAGAGGTCCTCGGACAGTACCCCGGTGTAGGTGAGGCCATTGTATACGGTACACTTGTCCCTGGGCATGATGGTCGCGCTGGCTGCGTCGCTCTCCGACTTGCTGATGGTGTCAGCCCCGAGACGTTCGACTGGAAAGCGCTATTGGAGTACTCGAGGAGTAAACTACCGAGATATGCAGTACCGGTCTTCTTGCGCTTGGTCAAGGAAGCTAGTAACACGGATAACCAGAAGCAGAACAAGGCGCCGCTGCGGGCGGAGGGCATGGAAATTGACAAGTTTGGCACTAAGGTTGTGGGTGGCGGTGATGATGTGGTTATGTGGATGAAGCCGGGTGAGGATCGGTATGTGAGGTTCACTATGGGTGATTTGGAGGCTTTGAGAAGTGGGAAGACTTTACTGTAAACAGATTATCTAGATGTGTGGAGGGGAGATGCAGGACGACTGATACGATGGAGGGCAAGGCCCCGAGGAGAGGTTGTAGGAGTGCAATCTCCATTCAAGCCACATATGGAAATGAAACAATATTTACAAGGAAGTCCTCCCTTAGCCATGCACCCCCCAGAGGGAAACATCCAAACACTTGCCTCCTAGACGTCTACACCACTCTACCAATCTCTGCTCTTCGGTTTCGCCTCTTTCTTGTCCTCGTCTTTAACAGGTATCGGGAAAGGCGAAGCCCTCATAACCGCCTGAATGAACTCCACCAACCCATCCATACCCCCAGGCTCATTAAGCCAATGCCCGCCCTCCTCAAAGCACTTCCAATCCACGACCCCACCCCACTCCTCAAGTTTCTTCCTAAGCTTCTCCCCATTCCGAACAGGTACAACCTCGTCGTCCTTGCAATGCTGCAAAAGCAACGGCATCTCAAACACACCCCGCTCTCGTCCAGGCACCCCCATGAGAAGAGACAGCTCTTCCGCCAACGGCAACCACCCACACAGCCCCATGAAGCCTCCAACGCGAATACCAGAAGTGACCAAAGTAAAAATACCAGTAGCGCACCCCTGACTCATCCCCGCTACAATCACATTGCGCAATCCCACAGGCTTCATCTCTTCCTCAAGGACTTCGAGAATCTGCGCGACGCTCTGCCATAGTTCTTCTTTTTGCGACTCGGCGTCTTGATCGGGCCGTTGTACGGATGTCATGTCGAACCATTGCGGTATTACTTCTCGCTCGCTGACTGCGCAGGATGATGGTGCGTTGGGGAAGACCCATTTTATTCCGGGGAAGATGTCGGTGAATGTCTTGATGGAAGAGTCCTCGCTTTCGAAGAGCTCCGAGCAGAAGGTCTTGGCGTCGCTGCCGCGGCCGTGGAGGAAGATGATGGTGTGGGTGTGGGGGGCTGTGGGGGCGACAATGTGTGGAGTGGTGACCATATTGAAGGTGGTCGTGTTGAAGGTGGTCGTGTTGAAGGTGGTCATGTTGAAGGTGGTATCGCGATGTAGCTACCTGAGTGGTTGGTGTAGAGCAATAGTGTTTGGTAGATCTTGGAGACGGGGTCGTGGTCAACGAAAAGAATGCGCCTTTGATTCAGACCGGGGCTTGGGTTTGGCTTGGGCTAGTGATGCGAAGAGTTGATGTAGATCTTGGTTCCTCAGTGAGATCTGGTGAGTGCGACTCTCCCATAGCCTCATATCGGGCCGTGGAGTCTGTGCGCATTGTCGTGGTTGTGGTGCCTAAGAATCGCGCACGTGAAGGTAGCCGTCGCCAGACTCCGCCCCGTAGTTTCGCCACAACAAGGCTAAGGACCCTGTGTCTATTCCAGGCAAGCGTGGTCGACGGGTCACGATAGTCGCCCCCGAGATTTTGCGACTTGGCTGCCGCAGGACCCTCTCTTACGATAACGGAAACTTGCTCATGCTTAGCAAAATCGGGCATGTGATTGGCTCGTTTGTGGCCAGCAAGGTACCGTCACCATGACCTCCACATCGCGCCGTCCCTGCATGAGTTCAGATGAATGCAATAGCTATGCTTCGCTCTCACCATGATCGGTCTGGTTACACACGCTTAGACAACATGGTAGATCTCGAAAGGCGACTGGTTCGCAAGCTCGGTACGTCGGAACCACCCGTCAGATCCCCACGTTGCGCATCTAACCAACCGCAGATTGCTTCATACTGGTGGGGAGAAGATATCAATTGACATAATGGCAGCTGATGGTATTCCAGGTGTATTGCTGCGCTGCATACTTTTTCAACTACCTTGATCGCAGCGCTTTCGCCAATGCCTACGTGTCTGGATTGAAGGAGTCTCTCGGACTCGAGGGCGACCAATACAGCATTCTGCTTGCCATGTTTACTGCGGGCAGCTGTGTTGGTCAAATACCCCATGCCCTCATCCTTCAGAAAGTCGCGCCCCGGTTCTGGCTGCCCTTCACACTGCTAGTGTGGTCCGGCCTAACGATGTGCTCTGCGGCATGCAAGACCTACACCCAGCTATGTGTAGTTCGATTCTTCCAGGGCTTCTTCGAATCAAGTCTCTATAGCGGCACCATCTATATCCTTGGTAGCTGGTATAAGCCTTTGGAAATCGCCAAACGTACAGCCATCTTTACGGCTATTGGGCAGATTGGCAGCATGTTCGCTGGTGTGATGATGACCGCGATGAACGAGAGTCTGCATGGTCAGACTTCGCTTCAAGGATGGCAATGGGTGTTCATTATCAGTACGTCCACCTCTTGGGGTAAATCACCGCTACTAATCGCTTTCAGATGGTGCCATGGGAATCCCCTTCGGTATCTTTGGGCTCATGTTCTTTCCCAACTTGCCAGAATCCACAGACGCACCCTATCTCAGCAAAGAGGAAATCCAGCTAGCGATAGACCGCTTGCCACCGAAGAAAGATTGGAGCCATGACATCAGTCTCAAATCCCTTGTCAAGAGACTGCTAGCCAAACCGGACATTTACATCTTTACTCTCTACTCAATAGTAGCCTGCGCATTGGAAGCCATCGTTCTGCAAGGTCTATTCTTGCTCTGGATGAAAGCAAACAGCGAGAAGTTCTCCTCGTATGCGACCACGACTTACCCGTTAGGTATTCAAGCCGTATCTATCGTGTCGAACGTCGGAGCGGGCTACGTTATCGACATGACCAATCGTCGCATACCGATGGTTATACTAGCTGGCGCTCTCCAGCTTCTGGTCTCAGTCCTCTTACTGATACCCAACCTTTCGACAGCTGGTACATTCTTCGCGTTCTACCTGGCGGGTACCTCGTACATCGTCAACCCCATTCTCTATGGATGGGCTAGCGTGATCTCTCAACGTAGTGGCGACGATGCCTCTCGGTCGATCACACTTTATATCATGAGTATGGTGCAGTCGGTATTGTACACATTCTGGGGTATTGCACTCTATCCAGCAAGCGATGCGCCGTACTGGAAGAAGGGCTATATCGCAATGATAGTTGTCGTTTTTGCGTTCTTTGGCGTGACTGCGGCTGTTCATTGGGTGAGTACCCTGGTAATCCTGTCGCAGTCATTTACTGACTTCTCTATAGTTGGATCAAAGATCTCAAAAGATTGAGAGCAACGCTTCTGAGGAGATCACACAAATGAGTGAAAGAATGAGCGAGAGGAATAGAAAAGATCCGAGACTGGAGGATTGAGGCAAGCCATATCACGAGAGCACCAAACAGCATACGAAGCGCCACGGAGTATGGTTAAAAGAATTGATTGAGTAGCGATCGAACACCTGGCATGTCACTCCTCTATCGCTCAAGCTTCCATGCGGATACCTCACCGCGACAGAGTCCAAGTATCAAGGCGCCATTTCACTTAATCTCAGAGACTACCCCTCTCGGTAGTAATGGCCCAGATCCAATCAATACAACCACCCTGTCTGCTCAAGGGCGACACCTTATCGAGATGACTTTCCATTGCAGCACTGGATGACGTAGCTACTTGCGCAGCTGATTGCACAGGCATAAAAGGCGACGTTGCAAGGTGTTCGGAGCCGCCGTCCTCCCTGCCCTCATCAAGCGGTACAATTGTCGCCACGATAGTCAAAGTCAAATGGCGTATAGTCGGGAAACAAGTAACCAAGCCCGTCATAGACATCAGTCATGTTGGCCAAGTCACCATGTACAGGGACTAGACTGCGTACCGAGAATTAGCGACTGCGTTTCGGGAGCGTATTTTGGGAACTTACACCGCTGATTTTGCTACACGGTGCTTTACCATAGCGTTAACCAGTTGAGCGATTTCGTTATGGTCGTTGTGTGTTGCCATCAACTGCGCTTGGGTGACATGATCGGCATCAAACACAACGACTGTGCTGTCCTCGGTGGGACAAGCAGGCATGATGACGGCGACACTATGGTCTTGGGCATGGATGCTGCCTTCAATGTGGATGAACGTGGCCCTGAAACTGTTGGTCTCCATGATGTGTGGCGCTCCGCGTCTAGAGTAAATTAGCGCTTGGCCCGATGGCAGGCACAAACAACAACTCACTCAAAGGTTTCGAACTTGGCGCCGGGGATATCGGCGTAGTACGACTCAGCCATCTTAGGACAGACGATTTCCGCTCCGTTCTCGACGTAGCCCTTGACACCGAAAGCGTGGTCGTGATGATGATGTGTAGGCTAGACAATGTTAGCAGAGTTCATCAGAGTAGTAATTAGGCATATTGAGATCGCCGACTTACCCACACCTGCGACACTGGCTTTCCAATGTTGATCCTGACCCATTCGAGCAAGACCGCCACGATTTCAGCAGGAGCATCCAGAACAGCAACATAGGTGTCAGTTTCAAGCAGGATCTGGCGGTACGCGGATACACCAGGTGGTCGGACGACCCAGACGCCGGGTAGATCTGCGTACGGTTGCGATCCACTGAGCGACTCGACTGTGAAGTTGTTCCGACCGAACCAGATGTAATTCGTGTACTTCTCACCGATCTCAGCTGTCAGGGCGGGGTCAACAACGGGAATGCTCAGTTCGCCGCGTTCGGCGGAGACATCGAAGAACGATGGCTCGACTTCAGTGTTGACCGATATGTCATCTGCAAGGAAGTCGATGCATAAGCGCTGGTTGTTGTATATGGTCTTGTAATGACGGGGTATCATGAGGCCGTTAACCGAGATAAAGTCGTATACTCGGAGATCGTTCGTCGAAGGACCGAAAAAGGGATGGTCTTCGTATGTGCGGATAGCGAAGGGTAGGTAAGTGTCGGGGTTGAAGATGATTGACATGTTCAGTGCTTGGTCAAACACTACACTCAGGTTAGAAAGGTTATAGCAAGAACGGTAAGTGATGACCAACCTGCTGGGAGTAGTAAGCCCCCTTCCACCGGCTCGAATCGGAGAGTGGAGTCATTTGCAGAGATCTTGCTTAGCAGCAACGGATCCCACTTTTGACCATCGGAGATCATATACGCCGCGAGATATCCTGTTGATCGTCAGACTTTGATACGAATATCTCAGTGGACGTAGTACCATCCAAGTAGCCTTCTGGAGCAGCCGTCGGGTCAAAAAGCGCATAGCTTCCCCTGACCACAGCAGCAAACGCGTCATCACCACCTTGTACTACTACAGAGTAGTCCATAGGTTCGAGTTCAGGTCGGGCAAACATCCAAAGAGCTAGGATCTCAAAGTCAGCTTCCCATCAAACGGTATCAAGAGAGAAGACCTACTCCCTAAGCCAGAAACCTTGTCAATGCGCTGCTTCAGACTGCCTGTCTCGTACGAATACGTGATCGTCTGGCTACCATATGGGACGACTGTTTGGTCCATGCCATCCAGGGCTATCGTTGTGACGATAGACTTGGTGCGGAATTGAGAGCCACCGATCCTCACATTGCGCACATCGGACGTGTTGGAGTTGATGCCAATGGCTGCGAGACCACGCTGTACAAGATCTGTAGGTACCTCGGACTGACGTGTTCGCAAAGCCAACGAGCTGGATGACAGGAAGCCCACCACCAGAGCTGAAAATGCTCGGGTTGCTAGCATTGTGTTTGAGGTGTTTGAACGAGAAACCTGACCGAGATTGGTGGCACAAGCAGGAGATTGAGAAGAGATGTGATGGACACAAAGGATGTCATTGCAACGATCTATATATTGAGCTATCGCTCTGTACGCGTAGCCACTTTCTCCAACAGACTTTCATGCTACTCTTCGTCTCGCGTCTTGCGTCGATGAGGCGGACGAACTTTCTCCTCGTTCGCGCAGGCCTTGACTAATGCCCAGCAAACGCAGTGGATCGCGATTACTGATGATACGAGCGTGGCTCATTCGATGAACCGCGCGTGATGTAGTATTTCGTACTCTGGTGGTAAATCCGGGGTCTCTGGTCGTGGAGTAGAGTTTGAAAGTCAACAAGTCGACTTTGGGACAGTCTGCTTACGAAGTCGGGGACGGCAACACCCGTAGTCGCAAGTCTAGTGTTACCAAATCTGTCGACAGACTCCAGAAACGGTAATGTAGCGTACCCAGTTAGCAGTACGGAACGGAAGTACGTTCGTCTTAGCGGTGCCGGTAAACGGGCCGACTAGATCTAAACATGACCTTGAAAGATGGTTAAGTCCGCAGCGAACACCGATAGAAGCCAAGACGACCTCTTGCAATTTCGGACGAGTTCTACGGCAGCGGACGAATGTAGTCGAACTGTGTTGACATATCAGCTTGGCATCACGCGTCGTGCAATAGGTCATGGACTGAGTAAAGTACGTGTCTGTGTTGAGAATACCCGGATTGCCTTCCCACCCCACACATCTTCATACGACCAAGCTACTTCACAACTCTTGCATCCATCACCCTGAAGCCATGTCGCAGCTATCTCTCGAAAACGACCTGTCGCACGCTAAACTGGATGAGATCTCAGCCTTTTGGTTCCGTCATCTCCAAGACCACGACCACATCATCAGCCCTAGCATCGAGGACTCGGCGCCATGGTTCTCACAGAATGATGCTTACGACCAGGAATGCATGTAAGTACTCAGCTTATCCTAGATACTTTCCCACGAACAAAAGCTTACTTAGCCACAGGGATAAATTTGGCGCATTGCTCGAACTCATTCAGGTCGTAGAACCAAACGGAGCGGAAATCATAGCAGCAGCAAAGCCATGCAAGCCTATGCACTGGATCAGTCTGATCATATTGCTTGACCAACTCCCAAGAAACTGCTTCCGAGGTGCTCAAGCTCGTGTAGCCTTCACCGTTTTCGATAGTCTGGCTTTGGAAGTGGCTTCCAAAGCGATTGACTCCGGTGCCCCCATGGATTCAGAAGTTCGCTTCCGACTGGCATACAGATTCTGGCTTTACATGCCGATGGAACATTGCGAGAGCCTGGCAGTAGCAGAATCGTTACACAAAGCACACTTTGACATGTTCCGTGACTATGAGAGGCTGCTAGAGAGGGATGTCGAGGGATGGGACGGTAAATTCGCCCAGTACCGCGACGTGCTTCTCAAACGAAGGAGTGATTTTGGGAAGCTGAAGGGTGTTATTACTAGCATCTGTGAAAGCAAGCTGGACGCACTTCGTCGGTTTGGGCGCTTCCCGCAGCGGAACGAGGTGTTGGGTCGCACTTCTACAGCCGAGGAGCTGCAGTTCTTGGACGGAAAGTGATTGTCGAAGATGGATGACGGTGTCGGATTCAATCACTATAAAGAAAGCCTACTGGAATGCTACCCAGTGTTATTCATCTGTGCCATTAACTCTGCATGAAGTCTTACGTCGTGATCATAAACATCGTAGAGCAGTATTTGCATATGTTTCACGCATGCCAAGCGATTGAGAACCGAAGTTTGATGTTGACAGCGCCACGCCATAGATTTATCGACGAAAGGAACAGAAATAGCATCAGTGTTCCACTCATCCGATCCGGCAAGTTGCTATCTATGTAGAATGACAGCTTTGCTCACTGCTTGACGCTGACAGTCGACAAAAACATGAGGACTCGATGGAAATGTCAGCGGAAGCCACGGCAATGTCACGCTGGAGGCGTATGCTCTTGGCCTTTTCCTGCTTTCCATTCCGCATGAAACATTCATAAAGACCATGTAGTCCCCAAACGTTGTTGATGCGCGCTTTCCGACGAGGCTGGCTATCACTGTATCCCAAGTCTTCTAGATAAAGCAGTTCGGCTTCCTCAGACTGGCCTTGCTCCAGAAGGAGTGCGCTCAGAGCGTGGCGAACGGGTTGCATCCAGAGTGGCGGATCAGCGTAGGCGAGGTTATCCTCCAACTTAATGCCGTGTCGTAAGACGGAGAATGCCTGAGAGTGATTACCCTTGCGATACTCCAACTCGCCCTCCAGCATGGCCGACGCTACAGCTAGAATGGGTTCTGCTGGAGAGGAGGGACTGTACATACGGTCCTCTGGTACGGACTGACGGGTCTTTTCGAAAGCGTCTCTTGCCTGGCTTGCCTCATCTATCCTCCCAAGTACTGCGAAAGCAATCCCTTTGGCATAATGGATTGTCGCTTTGTAGACGCAGAGTAAAACCGGATCTACCGGCTCCGGGAGCTCGAGAATCTCCTCCCAGCGACCAAATCTAATCAACACGTGAGGCAGCGTTACAAGTTGCCACTCGGTCCAGTCTACCATTCGTGGCGTTTTGATCGACATGAACTCCAGAGTCAATACTTCAGACATCCGTGTCGCAGCATAGAGAGCGTCCCGAGACCGACCAGACATCATGGCAGAGTAGGCCATAGCGTGGATGTTATGCGATCGATACGCGTTGTAGATGAGAGCTGCTTTGGCCCCACTCCCGAAGTATTTGTCGTCCGCACGTATAGCGTCAAAGTTCGAATCGACAGAGCGACGGTAGTCGCCACAGGCTGTGTCGATGTGTGTGGCCATGTGTTGCATGTGAGAGCCATCAGGTACAAGTCGTCGCAGACTGTCAGCCGCGGGCAAAGCCACTTCTGGGAAAGGCGACATCTCCATCATGTGGATGTACAGATGACACAGACCCGGGTGTTTGAGACCATCGGAACGTGCCAAGCCCCTCTCCAGAGCGGCTCTTGCCTCGTCCACATCTGTGCCTGTAGTCTTCCCGGTGTTGAGGTCCCAGAGCTGACGCGGACGAGTGCACATGACGGCATCGGCGAATAGTGCGACCACGTCGAGATCCTCCCCGTACTCTTCGTAAACCGAGCGCATAGCTTTTGCATAGGCATAATTGAACGCCGATAGGTCGTCTGGAACATCTGTGTTACTCTTCGGGAAGCGAGCGTTGAGGGCCGTGATGAGGGCTTTCTCCACAGGCGATGCAGTGGCCGCGACGTTATTGGCTTGCAACAAAGCGCTCAGTATCTTTTCGATGGACTTTGTGCGATCTTCCGGTGTGAACATGCGCCATGACTTGTTGTAGTTCGGGCCAACAGCGTAAGCAGTACCCCAGTGGGCTAATGCGCAACTCGCATCATGTGCAGTCGCCGCCTCAAAACACTGCATGGCTGCTTCATGGTTGAATGAGTAGCACCATACGAGACCACGGGCGAACCACGCTTGCGCTTCGTGAGATGTGGTTTGAGCATCTCGTCTGTATTCCCCTAGGTCGTAATATGGGGCTTCATCGTTCGAGGCATGGTTATTCCTGTTCTGGTTAACAATGGCAGCTAAATATGGACAAGAGAGGCTTACTTCATTGCTTGATATAGTAGTAGAAGTTGCAGTAGGGTCGAATCCGGAAGCCTGGGATTGATGTCGCTTTTGATCAGTTGCCGGTCGATAGCTATCACTATCTCCGTAGGAGCGCGCTCTCTTTACCGTTTCGTGTTTGGCGCACAAATGAAAAACCACACCTTTGATATAGTCTGTATTATCGTTGGCTTTCGCCGATGTTGGCGCTTGTGCCGAGGTCTAGCTTGCTTTAGTCGGCGTTTACCTAACAGGCCCGTGGACATCTCGGGGACTCAAACCCCGCCCTACTGCGGTACGTCTTCCGCCCGAGATAGCACCTTGATTTCGTGGCTGGAATTAATGACGTAGGCGATTTCCAGGTGTCAGCCAGACGGGACCGCGAGAGATGCGACGGAACGGAAGTATGGCACCTGCCGTCCCGTCGCACGACTAGCGTACCGGACTTATTGTGGCACTCTTAACTTGAGGCTGACTGAGTTACGACCGGAAGCGCGAAGCTGTTGATGCCATGCTTTGCAATCCGGACGAATCTAGGATGATTAGGTATCTGCGCACATTTGGTTGACTTCACTTAGTTTCCGATGTCGAGATGATGTATATAGGTATCGCCACAGCCTGCTTCTCAGAACCAGAAAAGACCTCATCGAGCCACCAGAATAACAGAATCCCCTACACCACCACCACGCTATCAAACCATACCCTCCATAAGATCGACACAAAGCACACCAGTCATGTCCAGCAAGATCACGAATGTCGCAATTGCAGGCGTAAGTTTATAGCTACGAGCACGAGGAGAAGATGGTCTACTGACATGAGACAGGCGACCGGCAGTCTTGGTTCTGAAGTATTGAAGGGTCTTCTTGAAGCCAAATTCACTGTTACCGTTATTTCTCGGAAGGAGGGGCAGAAGTTTCCTGCTGGCGTGTCAGTCAAGGTCGTTGACACTGACTCAGCCGCGGCAATTGCCGAAGCTCTTCGCGGTCACGATGCTATCGTGGATACGACATCTGGTCCCGATCCGACCCTCCAGGGACGAATCATCGAAGCTGCTGTCTCCGCGGGAGTCTATCGTATAGTAATGGGCGAGTTCAGCGTTGACCCTGAGGACCCCGTAGCGAGATCGCCGCTCTTTCACCACGGGAAAAACCAGGCTTACCAGCACATCAAGGACCTGGCCGCGAAAGGCAAGATCACATACACTACCATATCCAATGGAGCTTTCCTTGATTGGAACCTGCGGACTGGGTTCATCAACATCGACATTCGCAGCAAGAAGGTTCATTACATGAACGATGGAATGATTCCGATGGCTTGGACGATGCTTTCTTCAATCAGTACTGCCGTCGCCAACGTACTAAAGAAGGCTGAGGAGACCGAGAACCGCTCCTTCTACATCTCGAGCGTGATCAAGAGTCAAAAGCAGATGGTAGCACTAGCGAAGGAGACCCTGGGCAGCGATGGCTGGGAGGAGTCGAGCCAAGACATGGACCAAAGACTCAAGGCCGCGACTGAGGCTATGATGGCGGGAAAGATCGACATGGAGGTCATCGGTGATATGATTCGATGGTCTGCTGGCACAGTCCCTGCGCTACGCTGGGAGCAGTTGGATGACAACAAGCTGTTGGGAGTGGAACGAATGAACGACGATCAAGTACGCAGGCTCATTCGAGACATCGCCTCGGAAAGTAAGTAGTCGTCTAAGCCGATGCCGGTGAATATGGAGATTAGTGATCGACCTGTAGACTTGTAAAATGCATGATCACGAGCGAACGCTTCATACGTGCATTTCTGATGAAGTTCGCGCTACAGTATGTGTGCAGAATGTTGATAAGTAACGATCATTCCAGCGCCGAACGCAGATGCCATGACCAAGGTATCGCCAATGACCATCATCCCCTTGAAGACGAGTTTGAACAGGATCGATTCGCTCGCCTAAGACGATCATTCTCTGTTCCGACAGCGAATGCATAATCACAATCTCGCGAAGTCAAGAACCGTCCGATATCGGGTGATTCCGCAGAGTCACTGGTATGTGAAACGGACCATCATTAGCCTGGATGAGCGGGTTCACGGCGATTACCGCGTTTCCTGACAGGACTCCTCGTGCATGCGGGTTGCTCAAGCACTGGAAAGAGCGCAAAAGTCTTCATGATTCGGAAATCCGGATCATGTATCCTGATGGAGTCGTTATATGGACATCGGTGTCTTAACAAGTAGTGATCTATAGAAGCTTGATGGTCCTGCATGTAATGTGTTTTGATTTGACCATGGCAATCATGGCCCATATCAACGCTTTGCATAAACGGGGAGGCTAGGGTACTGACTTGTGAGCTCATCGAGTGACCCTTTGAGATGTACAAGTGCCTTTGTGTATGATGAGTGGCTATAACGTTTGCCATATTTGCGCCGTAGGCTACCATTCTTGGACATGTACCAAGGCCCCAGACCCGACGGGTGTTTTGTCGATGCGTATGATCGTGCGATGCGTGCTGATTTGGCTGGATTCGCGAAAGCCTTCCCGAACTTATCCGGACAGTGGCTGGTGGGTTTGTCGACTGTTTCCAATACTGGACGGGACATTATGAGACTATGCGATGGATAGGGGCCACTCGCCCTGATGCACATTCCCAGTCCGCAGCGGACATGGATGGATATGCAGCCCCGACGATGGTGAGTCCCTCTGCAGCTTGCCCTGGCATCGGGCACGTATTGTAGTGATGTGTCAAGGGAGAAGGCGCGACTTTGAAGGCAAACTCGAAGAAGCGAAGTGCATGGTCGTGACGCGCATGTGGGGCCGGACGGAAGGCCTCAGGCCTCGAAAACAACGGGGGCTTGGCGTGACAGGCGCTAGCTCAACTCGCTATGGGCGGCTTCCAAGTTTCCTTCATCCTGCACGATCTTAACAGTACCTGCAGCAGAGGAGCGTGGGCGAGCTCTTTTACGCGACTAGCTTCATAGTAGGCTTCGGCTATTCCAGTATATCTCATCTCTATATGCGGTCGGTACATCTCGGCTACCTCTTCAGCCGCCCATCGCCATGGGTCTCGTCAATGCCCAAGGCATGAAACATTGCACGTCGCTTGTGCGTTCTGGACAGCCTCATCCCCACCCACTGAGGCAGCAAACGCTTGCCTGCACACGGTCGCGTTCGCGCATCGTCTCCACTTCGCGATGAGTTCCCAGCCATGTCGATCTGCCGAATCTGGTACGTCAGGTTTCAGGTTTTCGTTCTGCATTGACGCTCGAACGTTCTGAGTCTCGGATGAAGCCTCAGGCCCTTCCCGCTCCTTTACAGCTGCACGCATTTGAGTAATGTACCTTGATCTCGACCACGCGACGAAGCCTTATCAACGGCAATTATCAATTGATCAAGATACCCTAGTAGCGCCATTAGAAATGTTTGTGGGTAGAATTCACATCGAGCGAATGGGATCAAGGTAAACGATCAGGCCTCACGTCGCCTCCAAAGATTAAGGACATACGGTTACATCACATCTGTGCCCGGCCCGTTTTCGTAACGGCTTTTGAATCTGCTAGCCATGGGTCTGTCTGTACATGGGAAGAAGACAGGGTAAAAGGTGTGATCGTCATCTAATGTGGGTTAAGAATGGAGTTATCGTCTTCTCCAGCTTCGTTGGTGATCACGTCGATCGTTCACCATTGAGAGCTGGACTCTGACTCTGTCGTTACCTTCATATCTAGTGGCGCAGGCTTTCGTCCATTCGTCGTTGTTCTCCTTCTACTTCTTCGTCTTGGGTTACTTCCACTCGCGTCACTCATTTCGCAATCCACAGCCTTTCAACACCAACAGATAGGAGGCTTTCACAATCATGGCGCAGGTTACGCCCCGTTCGATACTGGCACTTCAGCTTCCAGACCCTCGATTCAGCGTTGACTTTGCGAACTACGCACTCGACCCCAAAGCATATGCTACGACCAAAAAGTACATGCAGGACTTGTTCCCCGGTCAGAACAAGCCGTTACCACCACCAAAGGCTGCATCATCGCGTCATGGCAATGTGAACGCAAAGCCTCGACGCGTCATGGTAAAAGAGCCGATACCTTCCTCAGCGGCATCACAAAGTCTTGACGACAAGTGGGATGCGCACACCATAGAGTGTATGATAATGCTTGACGAATCACTCGTCGACGAATCGGATCGATCTTCAGCCTCGTCGAACTCGACAGCAGAGTCTTACGCCACCAACGTTACTTTCGCCAGCGCTTTGAGTAGCACAGCGCCTACAACAAAAGCTACCAGCGGTCTCCCAGAGTCGACGCGTTCCTTTCTTCAACTTCCCCAGGCAATAGTCAATCACATATTGTCATACGTTTTCGCTGAAGAACGCGCGGTCTCCATCACACCATACCAGTCGCGTATCACACCCCAGCCACGACGCCGGCACCGCCATGGCCCGAGCACCATCGACATCCGATCTTTCATGATGCATCCGGCACTGATGGTGTCTAAGCAGGTCCGCGAGCTCGGACTAGACATCCTCTATCGCGACAGCCTCTTTCTCATTGATCTGTCTGACATCGGTGGTGCCAGCGTCGGTGCCGAGAAGGACATTGGCAAGTACTGGGGATGCTGGACGAGCAGTACGCCACCTCACATGGTCAAGTCGGCACTCTCCCGTGCTGCGAACATCCGTATCCAGCTCCCAATCCCTAGTGCAGAAGCTACAGTTGTACGCAGCGCAACTAAGAGGAAGAAGGATGCACAGGAAGACACTTCCATCGTGATCGATTCTCTACGCACAGTGACCACCCTCATTACTGGTCAGGACAGTACCCCAACTCAACCAACAGAACGCAGTCGCTCGGCAAGTCCAGCGGGGCCGAAGATCCTCCGTCGCAAGCTCAGCTTCCGATCTGCGAAGCGTCCTGACTCATTGGAGTTTGTTTGCCGCGGAGACTCACCTCCACCCCAACCGAGAGAACCCTTAAGCACGCTAGAGGTTGTACTCGTGAAGGCTAATGCAGACGCCGAAGTGCACAGCCAAACGCTGGACATGGTAGCAATATGCAGTAGCATTCCAGTCTCCGGCGCTCTAGAGTATCATCTTGAGCTTGACGCGATGAGGAGGCTGTGGGCTAAGCGTGACAATGGACAATGGCAAGGAAGTGAGCCAGATGGTCACAAACTCCTGCATGGTATGTCGCAGTCTACTCCCATCACCTCGACCCAACACTGACTTGTAACAGATCTGAGGGCTCTAGGACATTCAGCGGCGAAAGCAGAAGTCTCGCAACCTCGTGGACAGCTCAGACAGACGCACGACCAGCCTACTGCACGTGCAGATGTACTCCATAGAGATAGGGCAAGCCCTGCCCAGCAACCAACCAGCGGCAGACCCAGCTTAGAAGGGCACCTTCAGCAACGAGGTATTCCGAAAACACGGCCTGCTAAAAATGGCCTCGTCGCAAGGAAGATCAAAGAGATGGAGAGCCTTTCCAAGATCAAACTGTTGAAGGGCAACAAGCAACCACCGACGGTTGAGGAGCTTCAACAGATCGCCTCCGACATCAGGAGAGGCGTCTACTAAAAAGTTCATCGCGGCCTGGGGCCGACAGAGCCCGGCGCTCAATCATGTCTTGTACTTAATTTTCTTCTGTCATATCTAAGTTTAATGTCTATAGTCTATCCACGCTCAAACATGTCCATAACTTCAGGTGTGCTTGGTCGACTAGGCCTTTCCGTCCGAAAATTGGACAACAGCCCACTTGCCACTCCAAGCCCAGTTTCTCGCCCCACTGTCTCCGCCGCCCCCCTCTGATGCTTTTATGCGCTCGTCTTCTCCGTCCTTTAATCCGACGACGACGTCGGCTTTGCACGTGCGGAGCGCGAGGACTCGTAGACCTGAGCCAGGGCCCATTGGTCCAATGGCTTCGGTGAATGGTGTGGTAGGAGACCAAGCAGCCTAGTGTTGGTCAGTAATGCGAGGAACAAATGTGGAAGAGGGCACTCACATCAGCGGTTAGCTTGCGATAGTTGAGATCGCCCTTGAAGATGACGAGCTCACTTTCCTTGAGATCCTCGTACAAGTCCGGCTCGCTCTTGGGAAGTCGCCAGTAGCTGCCGCCCGCAGTCCAGAAGTCGTTTGGTCGCATCATCAATTGGCCTTCTGCGTGGAGACCACTCCAATGCTGGAAGAGAAATTGTAGATTCGCGCTCTCTGTCTCAGACAGCGGTACGGACTGCTTGCCAGCGTGCTTCTCGTCTTCCGATAGCGCGCTGTAGAAGCTCTGTGGGTCGGCTAGTGCCATGAGGAGTGCACCGAAATCGGCTGGCAGAACGTCTGAAACGAACCATGGAATGTTCTTGGGGTGGAACACAACGTTTGTCGCCAGACCGGATGCGATGAGATATCCAGCGAGAATCAGGTCAACGAAGAGCTCGAAGCCAGCATTGTCAAGCACAATGTCAACGCGACGTTCCTTCTTGCCCTCCTTCTGAGCCCGCGTGAGAACCTCGAACGCCTTGTCTAGGTCGTTGACCAGAATGTTCTTCTCGGAGTTCTTGCGCGCCTCAGAGCCCTGCAACTTCTGGATGTCTTCGTATGACAGGTTTGTCAACAAGGACAGATCCGTCGCATTGCCCCAGAGACAGATCTCGCACATCTCGGTGAACAGGACCTTCTCTGCAGCCTCGAGCTGCTCTTGCGACTCTGCACCCTTGATTGTCTTCTTCTGTTCGAGCTCGGTGACAATGTCTTTGTAGCGTGCGGCGAGTTCGATGACGGCGGGGCGAGAGGATTTGAAGGTTTCCATCTTCTGGCGAGCGAAGATGTCATACGAGCGCCATTTGGTGGTCTGCTTAAAGATGCTTGCGATGCGTCTGCCTATGGCCATTAGCACGTGCCATTGAGCGATTTAGGTCTACATACCTGTACAGATAGCACTCTGCATACAGCCAAGACACGTTGTGCCACTTGGGGTTGCCTCTTGCTGCCAGTTCCTTGTTGTATGACTCGATGTCGCGCTCGCCATCATCGGGAATTGGAGTGAGCTCGCGGTCGTGCTGCAGCTCGTACTTCAGCTTGGCGAGTTCTGCGACAACCTGTTTGCCTTCTGTGATGGCCGTCTCGTCTTTGGTGTCGTGCAGAGAGCGGTGCACGTCGTCAATGCCTTGGGTGATGATGATGGGCCATCGCGAGCGCGCCGAAGTGTGGGCAAACGACGTCGCGTCGTTGGTGCTGTACTGCGCTGATGCTGATTAGTCATGAATTGGCCTGTATAGGGTCGCGTATACTCACGTGCTGAGAAGGTGTCGTACTCCATGTTGCTGCTTAGTTGTGGTGTGTTGATAAGGTACTCAGTCACGACTTTCAACATGACGACGTTTGCAGGGGTCTAGGAGCGAAAACGTCGCCAAGCATTCCAGCTACCCCTCCACGTGCTCGACCGTTATCCCCACTACAGCACTTCCCACCAGGTGTAAGCACACCAACACCGTCTCCTCCATGTTCTATGGGCATAGTGTTCAACTCCATCACAGTCTATATGCAATGCATGTCAATTCCCATCCATTGACACCACATAACTGACATACTACAACTCCTCACGACTAAGTGGAGTGCATGGTCGCTGATGGGAGCAAGCGGTGCGGACCTGCACCATGCAGTTGCTAAGGTGCATCAGGCATGGAGTTTGGACAGTATTTGGAAGCCATCGCATTCCAAGTGAGGCTCCGGGGTTGGGACGCAGGGTCCGTGAAGTCTCGACGAATCGGACATGTGGAGTGACATGCTGGTTAACCATGACGTGTTTTCTCAGGCACTCTCGTGTCGCCGCTACCTGCGCGTCTATAAACGGTATTCCGAAGTTACCTTTGCAGGAACGTATTGCCAGTTTGCTAGCAGCTCGATGCGATTTCACTTTCACATCTCGACGCACTTCGTACGCATCCACATGCGCTAGCTCATGAAAATCTACCGCTCAATCCTCAGTATCGGTGTTCGCAGCACCATCACCTCCAGACCTCTGCGCACCTCCTTCCAATTCGCACGTACAATGGCGACAACACCGAACGGAGATCTGAACAATACCTCGGCCGAACGTGCACGAACTGAACTCGACATTGATCCCGCGTATCAAGGTCGCTCATTGGCGATACCACCTTCTGAAGACGATGTGGAAGTTCGAAAGGCTTACCGGCCATTCATACTTGAGGGGAAAGATGCTGAGGACGATTGGGTGGCTCAATTAGAACTCAGCACTGCACTGAAGATGGTGGACACACAATTGCTCCAACGCGGAGATGAGAGGCTTAAGGTGGTAGTCCTGCACGGAAGCATGCGATCAAGGTACGAATCTGTCAGCAAGATGTGCCGTGGGTGCTGTCAAGGAAAAAACACTGACACAGGGCAGATCTTACTCGCGCTTGCTGTCGTACGAGGCGAGTCGAATACTTTTCCGCCTTGGCTGCGACGTTCGCATGTACGACCCCACTGGCCTACCAGTCAAGGACGATGTACAACACACACACCCCAAAGTGCAAGAGTTACGCGAACTGAGTAAGTGGAGCGATGGGCATATATGGATATGTCCTGAGCAGCATGGGACTCTCGTAAGTTGACGTCCTGAAACTCCACATGCTTGGTGAATGTCATACTGATAGACGTCTTCTTTCAGACGGCCGTTTTCAAGAACCAGATCGATTGGATACCACTCTCCACCGGCTCTGTTCGTCCGACCCAGGGCCGTACCCTCGGAATCGCACAAGTGAACGGCGGTTCGCAGTCCTTCAACACGGTCAACGCCCTGCGAATACTTGGTCGATGGATGCGCATGTTCGTCATACCGAACCAGAGCTCCATACCCATGGCATATAAGCAGTTCACAGAGGAGGATGCCGGCAGCAGGCTGATGCCCAGCGGAAACAGGGATCGACTTGTCGACTGCATGGAGGAGTTCGTCAAATACACCATTGTGATGCGCCCTCATTTCGATCTCTTCGGCGACAGGTTCAGTGAGAGAGAAGAGAAGCGGGCGAAACAAGCGAAGGAAGCTAATAAGCCAGCCCCAGACACGCAGCATGCGGCCTTGTCAACCAACGCGGGGCCTTCGAATTAATCCGAACCTCATTTGAATGCAAGAACAGCATTGCCTCAAAAGAATAGGAGTCTGGCATACAGTGTGGTAGTATAGCGCAGGTTCTGAATGTATCAACAGCCCTCGACCGGTTCTGGACTAGTGCTGTCGATCATCCGTGAGTGGTGACACCCCGCAAATGCAAGTGACATATCTGCTACGTGCGTATATAGTGGCATCGGTTGTAGCGAAAGGTACCGTGCTCCTGATTGCATGCCGCAAAGATGATGAAACAAAACAGCAACCCCCGACTGCACAGCGAGGTGTTACCGCCACTGACGCTCGATGAGGTAATCGAAGGAGAGAATTCTACCATTGCAGAGCATACGCCCCCCGATGGCGGCTACGGCTGGGTTTGTGTAGCAGCGTGCTTTACTATAAACTGCTTCACATGGGGTACCGTATCTGTGAGTCAAGGTCGCTTCTCCAGAAGATACTTTCTCCCCACCGTGCATCATGTTAACAACGTTCAGGCCTATGGCATCTATCTATCGCACTACCTAGCCGACGACATCTTCCCCGAAGCCTCTACCTGGGACTATGCGTTCATCGGTGGCTTCAACTTTGCCATTGCTATGCTCCTGGCACCCTTCATGACAGTCTTCTGTCGCAGATTCGGAACCCATGTTGTCATGTGCTGCGGCCTGGTCTTGCAGCTCGGTGGCTTCATTGCTGCCTCATTTGCAACTCAAATCTGGCAGCTTCACCTCTCGCAGGGGGTCTTAATCGGCAGCGGGATTGGCTTCTTATACATCCCCTGCCTTCCAGTCCTGTCGCAATGGTTTGATCGAAAACGAAGCCTGGCCAACGGGATTAGTGCAGCAGGGTCTGGGGTCGGCGGCGCAGCTTTCACTTGGGGCACCGAGGCCATCATCCAAAGATTCAGCATTGGTTGGGCGTTGCGCATCACGGGCATCATCGCTTTCGTGGCCAATCTTACTGCAACGGTCTTCATACGCGACAGGAACAAGGCCATTCGGCCATCCCAACTAGGCTTCGATACCAAACTTCTGCGGCGCTACGAAGTGGTATTGCTGCTTGCATGGGTCTTCATCAGCATGCTGGGATACATCGTCCTCCTCTTTTCACTCTCCGATTTTGCACTATCGATAGGCCTCTCGCGATCCCAAGCTACAGATATAATCGGCCTCTTGAACGTCGGGACAGCGATCGGGCGTCCAATCATCGGTATCCTGAGTGATCGATGGAGCAGGATAGATACGGCAGGAGCGTTGACCTTGCTGTGCGGTCTTTCATGTTTTGCGTTCTGGCTGCCTGCTACATCCTACGCACTAACGGTATTCTTTGCCATTCTCTGCGGCGCGATCGTTGGTGTATTCTGGATGGTAAGTCAACTTCGTAACCGAGAAGTACTCCAGACAGCTCCACTGACCACTTACCCAACCAGACCATTGGCCCGCTCTGCGTCGAAGTCGCAGGCATCAAGAACCTGCAGTCGTTGCTTTCTCTATCCTGGGCGGCAGTCATCTTCCCAGCAACAGGTATGCGCCTCATTCTTAAGGTCGAGAGGAGCCTTAACTAACTGAAGCAGTTTCCGAGGGAATCGCACTCAAGCTCAGACGGTCCTCATCCTCCCGTGAGTATCTTTATACTCAGATCTTTGCAGGTCTTTCATATGTAGTGGCTAGTGGATTCATGTTTCAGCTACGGAGGGTGAAACGTCGCCAAAATGCCCTCGACCGATAGCATGCATGCTTAGATCAACGCTCATGCAATCTCTGCAAGAACCTCCAACAAGACATGATTTTGTATGCGACAACCTTCCAACGGAGACGTGCTGAATCGGTAGCCCGCCCTTAGCTTCTTGTCCAGATATTCTGAGCTGTGACCGTCGGGATTTTGTGCAAGCACGAGGGAGAAAGCGGTTGTACAAAGCGTTGTCGAAACTGAAAGTTGCGCTGGTAGTCCATTCGATGCTGGCGAAAAGTCGGCCGCGTTATCCTGAAGTGGGCTCAACAAACTCAAACCTCCATTGGCGCATGCTGGAGGAGTCATGGCAGCAGGCATATCTTGCGATGCCCATGAGGGCGACGCGTCCATCGCATACGAATCTACTAGGTTCAGTTGCATATTCGCATTCTGTATGTCTATCTCCGCGCCGAATGGTGAAAAAACCTCATGTGCTTGCTTTTGGGAGGGGACAATAGAGCTTGTGTCCAACTAGCCTTGTCAAATTATGGTGACATTTGCGATGTGTGAGCCTACCTCGCTGATCGATAAAGTATTCATATGTTGAGAAGATGTTTCAGGCGTACTGCCGATGTGTGTGATGCTCTCTTGGTAGCTTGAGAACTGTGCTGCGAGATGCTGGGCTCTCGAGAAAGCCTCGAGGAAAGCTCCGTCAAGGCCTAACGTACATAACAGTTTTTTAAGCGATTGGATCTCCTGGGTAGCTCTCGCGAGCTCTGCTGTCGTAGGGTCTTGACTACATCCGTTTTCAGATTCGCGGAGCTTCATTTCAAGTTCGGCAACGTATGCTTTGCGCCGAGCGCGACTGCGACGCTGATTGTTGCGCACCCGCTCGGCGTTTGTAGACTTGGAAGGCTGTCAGCACCTGATGACGCGACGGAATAGGAGTAAAGCACTTTCGCATTGGCATTCTTGTGCGCCATTGTCAAGAGATTCAGTAAGTGGAGGCTGTCGAGAGTGCGAGTGTAGAAAGATTATGGGGTAACGGGGTTTAGAGGGGCTGCCACGCGGCGTGACGTCATTTGTCAGCCTCAAAAGGAAGTTGCTTGCGCATGTGAGCAGACGTTGGACAAGAGGAGGACCAAGACTACGATTTTTTGTATCGGTTCAAGCTACCTCTCATCCATGAGCTCCAGAACAAGCGTATTCTTGACACTACATTCCTGGTCTCCCTGACAGCCCAGACTCGCCCGTATCCGATGTCTATCACCGTCGCCACGCATCTCTGATATGATGGTGGCAGCGGTCTCGCATGATATCAGCAAACCATTGTCGAGCGACTTCCCTTGAGGCGCAGATGTGGGTGGACAAAAACAACTTGTAGTGTTAGGACAATCGTCGTCTTCTGCGACGCTGCGAGACGAAGCTACGCTTGGATCGGTCATCGAGCTTTCTGTTATCCGAGAATCGAAGGCTCTTGTTGTCTCGGGTGGTTTACAGCAAGATGACTTCTCCTGGTCGACCAGTGCAACAGGCTC